TTTCAACTACAGCTATGATAGATTCCGGAGCAGGCAGAAACTTTATGGACATTAAATTTGCAGCAGGAAATAAAATTCAGTCTATCCCTAAATCTTCACCTGTGTTAATGGAAACAGTAGATGGTTCTCCACTTACGTCAGGCCCGGTTACACATGAGACTGTGCCCTTAAAATTGATTCTGGAAGTGAATCACCACGAGTCTATATCTTTCCACCTAATTTCCTCAACACAGTTTCCAGTGATTTTGGGTATACCCTGGCTTGCTCTGCATAACCCACAGATTGATTGGAAGACTAGAACTTTGTCCTTTCCTTCAGAACACTGCTTAATGAATTGTCAACCTTCTAAGGCGACACCTGTTACCACAACAATTAATGAAATGGTTGCTACAAACTTAACTAAGCTTCCGCTACAATATCAGGATTTTGCAGATGTCTGTGATAAGAAGAATGCTGATCAGCTTCCACCTCATAGGCCTTATGATTGCCCCATAGAGCTGCTACCTGGAGCTGCTATCCCATTTGGCCATATATACTCCCTTTCTGAGCCTGAATTGAAAGCACTTCGTGAATACATACAAGAAAATCTTGCCAAAGGCTTTATTCGACCATCTACTTCTCCAGCAGGAGCTCCTATATTCTTTGTAGAAAAGAAAGATGGCAGTCTACGGCCATGTGTCGATTACAAGGACATTAATAAAATCACTGTTAAAAACCGTTATTCCTTGCCTCTCATTCCTGAACTTCTGGAGAGACTTCGTTCAGCTAAAATATTTACGAAGCTTGATCTACGGGGGGCATATAATCTGGTTCGCATAAGACCAAATGATGAATGGAAAACAGCTTTCAGAACCAGGTACGGACATTACGAATATCTAGTAATGCCATTTTGGCTTTGTAATGCCCCTGCAACTTTTCAGCATCTAATCAATGATGTACTACGGGATCTCCTGGATCAGTTTGTTGTGGCATATTTGGATGATATCCTGATATTTTCTGATAATCTTGAAAATCACAGAAAACAGGTCTGCATTGTTCTTGAGCGCCTTCGTACCCACCACCTATACATTAAACTGGGAAAATGTGAGTTTGAACAAACAGAAATTCAGTTCCTGGGGTATGTAATAACTCCTAAAGGTTTAAGTATGGACGCAAGTAAAATTAAAGCTGTGCTGGACTGGCCCATCCTCAAGAATGAAAAAGATATACAGAGATTTGTGGGGTTTGCCAATTTTTACAGGCGTTTCATTAAGAATTTCTCTGCCGTTATTACACCGATCACTGAACTTACACGTAAAGGGACTCCTTTTCAGTGGTCCAATAAGGCTGACACTGCATTTTCCAGATTAAAGACTCTGTTTACATCTGCTCCTATCTTGGTACATCCTCAGCCAGAATTGCCATTTACTGTAGAGGTAGATGCTTCTGATTCAGCTGTTGGGGCTATACTATCTCAAAGGACTGGACCTAAGATGTTGTTACATCCATGTGCCTTCTATTCCCGCCAGATGTTACCAGCAGAAAGAAATTATGACATAGGGAATAAAGAACTTTTGGCTATAAAAGCTGCCTTCACCGAATGGAGACATCTCTTGGAGGGAGCCACCCATCCAATTACTGTCCTCACAGATCACAAAAATCTGGAATGTATCCAATCCGCTAAGAGACTGTCAGCCAGACAAGCACGCTGGTCCCTATTTTTCTCAAGGTTTAATTTTTTTATTTCATACCGCCCTGGTTCCAGAAATGGCAAGGCGGATGCCTTGTCTAGGATAGCTGACCCCTCCATACTACAGTAACCAAGGCCACCATCTTGCCGGAGAGCAGATTTTTAGGAGTTACCTTTCCTTCTGATCTAATGTCTCGCATTAAAAAGGGCTACTCTAAAGATCCAGTTTTTCGTGATCCTCCTCGTGATCTTCATATGACCATGCTTAATGGGTTTTGGATTTTTCAACAACGTCTGTTTGTTCCAGAATCAGTGCGACTGGACGTTTTACGCCTCTACCATGACTCTAAACCAGCAGGTCATCCAGGAATCCGAAAGACACAAGAACTACTTACCCGATCCTTTTGGTGGCCTAAATATTATGAGGATGTTAAGAAGTATGTGTCCTCTTGTGATGTATGTGCCAGACATAAGACTCCTCGCTCATCCCCTGTTGGCTTGCTTCAGCCTCTTCCGATTCCTCATCGTCCCTGGGGATCTATATCCATGGACTTTATTGTGGAACTACCTCCCTCTAAGGAACACACTACTATTCTTGTTGTTGTGGACCGGTTAACCAAGATGAGTCATTTCATACCAGCTCGTGGTCTCCCTTCAGCTAAACAGACTGCTGACCTTGTTATTCGGGAAATATTTCGCTTGCATGGAGTGCCTGATGAAGTAATTTCTGACAGGGGAGTGCAGTTTACATCTCATTTTTGGAAATATTTTTGTTCTATTCTAGGTATTAATGTAAATCTGTCTTCAGCTTTTCATCCACAAAGTAATGGACAGACTGAGCGAACCAACCAGACTTTAGAACAATATTTGCGGTGCTATATTAGTTACCTGCAGGATGACTGGCTGGATTTTCTACCCACGGCGGAGTTTGCCTATAACAATGCCCAACACTGCTCCACTTCTCTGAGCCCATTTTTTGCCAATTATGGTTACCATCCAACCTTTCTAGTGAGTCTCCCAATTACTACTCCCATTCCTGCAGTCACTGACCGGCTAACCGCCTTACGAGATTCCCAAGAACTGTTGAAGGAGACTCTTTCGGAGGCTCAGGAATGTTACAAAAGAGCTGCTGATAGGCACAGAAAGGAGGCCCCAGTTTATCATGTTGGTGACAAGGTTTGGCTGTCAACAAAGAATCTTAAGCTTAGGATTCCTTCTCATAAATTGGGTCAAAAGTTCATGGGACCTTTTAAGATAATCGCTCAGATCAATGCAGTCACCTTCCGTCTGCAACTTCCGGATTCCATGAAAATACATCCGGTGTTTCACGTGGCACTGCTTAAACCTTTTCATGAAAATACTTTCCCTGGTCGAGCCTTGCCTGCCCCACCACCAGTCCTCGTGGATGGTGAAGATGAATACGAGGTGGAAAAAATTCTTGACTCCAGGATCTTCCGCAACAAGCTTCAATACTTGGTTCATTGGAAAGGCTATGGTGAGGAGGATAGATCGTGGGAACCAGTGGACAATATTCATGCTCCTGATCTTCTTCAGTCTTTCCATGAACAGTACCCTGCTAAACCAGGAAATAGGGCATCCAGAGGCTGCGCCTATAGAGGTGGAGGTAATGTGAGGAACTGACTCTGCTGGGTTTCGAACCCTGGTTTACATGGTGCTAAACCTTTTCCTTACCAGTACACCAGCCTGCCTTTTGCAAATTTACCTGAGATCTGATACTATTGTTTGTAGAGTCAAGGTTATCAGTGACAACTCACTTCAGCTGTGTCTGGTCAGGTGTCTGGTCAGGTGTCTGGTCCTTGGCCTATAAAAGCCACTTCCTGTCTCTGTACCTTTGCCAGATTATTGTGGTTCCTGTACTCTCTAATCCAGCGTGTTCCTGTTTCTCCTTCCTGTTGCTGAATTTGGACTGTTTTGACTTTGCTGCTTCTCCTTCCCACTGACCTCGGCTTGCCTCACTACGATTATCATCTTTCTGTTCCAGTCTCCCATCTCTGCTTAAGACCAGAAGGCCACTCAAGGCTCAGGGGCTCAACCACCTGGGTAACGAGTGGCTACCTCTGGCAGAAAACATTGCTGATCTGGCTACTGGACTCCAAAACTTTGTAACATCAATATCATTACAGGGGGTCGCAATGGCAGGCGGTGTCCCGCAGGTGTATCGGGGGGGCGTCTGATATTTGGTGAGGCCTGTACCTCTTTCAGAGCCCGGCTCACTCGAAAAAGTAGGCGTGGGGGGGGAGATATGGGGGCTTGATTGAGCCGTTGGCTGTCTTGTATAAGTCCGTGAGTGGAGTGGTGAGAGGTGAGCACATTCTCTGTGCCCTGCAGTTTTTCGGCCTTTGTCTGGCCATGCTGGGTTCAGATTTTAGTGGGCAGTCTCTGCAAGGGTCTGAGCAGCGAGTCTGAGTGCTTAGGGGTAAGTCTCGCAGTGACAGGGTGGGCCAAATTGCGCTGTGGTGTGGCAGTCACTTTTTCTCCTGTGCTGGGTTGGGGGGAGGGTGGGGGGGGGGTGAGGGCGAGCAAGAGTACTCACATGGGTGCTGAATGTCCTTCAAGCTGTGCCATTCCCAGATGAGTGGGGCGGTCACCATGGGGGGTCACACGGGTCTCTAACAGAGTCGTGCTGTAGCCGGCACCCCCTTCTGGGTGGCGGTAGTGTACTTTAGGCTTTAGACCAGTCCGCGGTCACCTTCTTTAGGGAGGTTTGGGTGTGTGGTGCTTTGCCGTCTGGGAACAAGCCCCAGGTCTTGAGCTTGTCCATTCCCAAGGCCGGATCTTCGATCTTTATTAGGGAGCCGTTCCGCCAGATAAGGAGTTTTGTAGGAAATCCCCACCTGTACGGTATTTTGTTGTTTCTGAGGCATTTCGTAATGTTAATGAATTCCCTTCTCCTGGCCATTGTCGTCAGGGAGAGGTCAGCGAAGAGGGAGATATTTTCATAGGTTGGCGGCATCGCTGAGGCCTTCCTTTGCGCCGTGAGTATGGCTTCCTTCGCAGAGTAGTAGTGCAATCTGGTCACGATGTCTCTTGGCACTTTTGGTTTTGAGGTTTTGGCAGACCCCGGACCGGGTGGAGCGTGGTAAAGACTGAAGTGAGGGGGGCATGGTCTGACCAAGTCAAGGGGGCAATTGATACCTCCTCCAGGGTATCTAGCGTTTTCACATCCACTAAGCACATGTCTATCCGGGAGTATCGATCATGTACCTTGGAATAGAACGTGTAGTCTTTAGATGCTGGGTATAGCGAACGCCATGTATCGTGTAGGCCGTGTGAGTTGAGGAGCGCTGTCACTTTCATCCCTAGCTGTGTTGATCGCAAGTGGGAACAGGGTTTGCCGGTCCTATCTAGAGCTGGGTCCAGTACGCAGTTAAGGTCTCCACATATAAGCGTCTGCCCTTTCTTCTTCTTGTCTACTTGTTGTAAAGCTTTCCTAAGGAAGTCATACTGGTTGGTGTTGGGGGCGTATAGGTTGACTACTGTCACCTGGACGTCATTTAGTAGTCCTACTAGTATTAGAAGCCGGCCATCGGGGCTTTTGTATTCTACTACACATTTAAATTGCCAATCAGAGTGGAAGAGAATGCTAACACCTCGTGTCTTATTCGGTGCCGTGGCATGGTAAGCTTGTGGATAAGATGTGGACGAGAATTTTGGTGGGTTTTTAATTGAGAAGTGGGTTTCCTGTATGCATGCTACAGAGGCGTGTAGAGTGCGTTATTGGGAGAACGCCAGCCTGCGTTTTTGTGGGGTGTTCAGCCCATGGGCATTTAGAGACACCAGGCGGAATTTATTGGCGGAGGTCATTTTAACTAGTTGGGGTGGCCCTAGGGCCCAGTTGTTTGGGTGTAGTGTTTTCTCTTGCCACTACATGACAGAGTTGGTGGGGTGAGGCTATTTTTCCCCTCGTCGTACCCAGTAGTGAAAGGGGAGCATCTCGGGTAGGGGGTTAGGGCAGGGGGAACAACCTGGAACATAACCTAAGAAACAAAACCATAAAACAGAAATAAAGTATATACATTTCAAACAGCTATTAAGCATTATGTGAGGGACCCTGCTGCCGAGCTCGCACCCTCCACTGCACTGAGAGGGGGTCGCAATGGCAGGCGGTGTCCCGCAGGTGTATCGGGGGGGCGTCTGATATTTGGTGAGGCCTGTACCTCTTTCAGAGCCCGGCTCACTCGAAAAAGTAGGCGGTGGGGGGGGAGATATGGGGGCTTGATTGAGCCGTTGGCTGTCTTGTATAAGTCCGTGAGTGGAGTGGTGAGAGGTGAGCACATTCTCTGTGCCCTGCAGTTTTTCGGCCTTTGTCTGGCCATGCTGGGTTCAGATTTTAGTGGGCAGTCTCTGCAAGGGTCTGAGCAGCGAGTCTGAGTGCTTAGGGGTAAGTCTCGCAGTGACAGGGTGGGCCAAATTGCGCTGTGGTGTGGCAGTCACTTTTTCTCCTGTGCTGGGTTGGGGGGAGGGTGGGGGGGGGGTGAGGGCGAGCAAGAGTACTCACATGGGTGCTGAATGTCCTTCAAGCTGTGCCATTCCCAGATGAGTGGGGCGGTCACCATGGGGGGTCACACGGGTCTCTAACAGAGTCGTGCTGTAGCCGGCACCCCCTTCTGGGTGGCGGTAGTGTACTTTAGGCTTTAGACCAGTCCGCGGTCACCTTCTTTAGGGAGGTTTGGGTGTGTGGTGCTTTGCCGTCTGGGAACAAGCCCCAGGTCTTGAGCTTGTCCATTCCCAAGGCCGGATCTTCGATCTTTATTAGGGAGCCGTTCCGCCAGATAAGGAGTTTTGTAGGAAATCCCCACCTGTACGGTATTTTGTTGTTTCTGAGGCATTTCGTAATGTTAATGAATTCCCTTCTCCTGGCCATTGTCGTCGGTGAGAGGTCAGCGAAGAGGGAGATATTTTCATAGGTTGGCGGCATCGCTGAGGCCTTCCTTTGCGCCGTGAGTATGGCTTCCTTCGCAGAGTAGTAGTGCAATCTGGTCACGATGTCTCTTGGCACTTCTTGTGCAAGGTTTTGAGGTTTTGGCACTCGGTGCGCCCGGTCCAGGCAGAGGTCCGCCAGTTCTAGGTTTGGTTGGATCGCTTGAAAGAGTCTCAGTAGGTAGGCCAGCAGCTCTTCTTGTGTCACTGTTTCTGGTACCCCGCGCACGCGGATATTATTGCGGCGGGAGCGATCTTCCAAATCTGCCAGTTTTTCCATAAGGCGTTTATCAGCGTCCATCCTTTGTATTTTCTCCACTATGGTGTCATTCATGTGGCAAAGCTCATCAGTCTTTTCTTCTAGTGCATTCACGCGTGTCCCCACTTCATGGATGTCTTTGCGCATGTCAGAGACCGCAGCTTGGAAGTCAGTCTTCATAGAGGTGCGTAGGTCCTGCAGCATTGCCGCCAGGCGCTTTTCCGACACAGACAGATCATCAGCGGTTGCTTGACTCATATCTGTGTCTGATCCTGCGTCTGAGGTGTGAGTGGGTGAGCGGGAGCCGCCGCCATCTTGCTCCATGCGCTGCTTCCCTCCTTTACCCTGCCGGAAGAAGTCCGATGCCCTTTGAGACTTCGGGGGTGCCATCTCTAAGGTAGGAGGTTCCCCTGTGGTTGGGCACCCTGGTAGGGTTGTTCCGGGCTCTTTCGCCGCTTTTCTGCCGCTTTTAGGCCTTACCGATCACGGAGCTGCGGTTACATGCGACCGCTCCGTCCGACCGGAAGTAAAACATACATTTTTTAAATGTATCAATAGTGACATTGTAACACTATTATCTGTCATAAATCTCTGAATAACACCCCACATGTACATATTTTTTTTAAAGTAGACAACCCAGGTTATTCAATATGGGGTATGTCCAGTCTTTTTTAGTAGCCACTTAGTCGAAAACACTGGCCAAAGTAAGTATTCATATTTGTTTGTGTGTGAAAAAAGTAAAAAAACTAAATTGAACGCTAATTTTGGCCAGTGTTTGTGACTGAGTGGTTACTAAAAAAGACTGGACATACCCCATTTGCAATACCTTGGGTTGTCTTCTTTTGCAAATGGTATGCCATCATGGGGGTAATTCTCATTCCTGGGCTACCATACGCTCTCAAAGGCAACGTAACCAACCTGGCCATTTTCAATGAAAATATTTGACCCATATATTTGACCCTGTAACTTTCAAAAATGCCATACAACCTGTACATGGGGGGGGTAGTGTTTTACTTGGAAGACATCGCTGAACACAAATATTAGTGATTAAAAACTGGAAAACTTATCACAGTAAAAGTGCAGTTTGTGTGTGAAAAATGCAAAAAAAGTGCAGTTTGTGTGTGAAAAATGCAAAAAAAGTCACTTTCACTGACAATATCATCGCTGTGATATGTTTTACTGTTTTCAATCACTAATATTTGTGTTCAGCAAAGTCTCCCGAGTAAAACTGTACCCCCCATGTACAGGTTTTAGGGTGTCGTAGAACGTTACAGGGTAAAATACAGTGCTAGCAAATTAAATTCTCTGGACTTTCGGCCTGGGTTGGCAGTCAGGCCCCTCAAATTGCAATCAATAAAATTACTTAATTATGTAAAAATATTACATAAATACGCACATAGAATTTAAATATATATGCATATTTATATATTTGAAGTCTACGTGTATATTTATATAATTATTTATGTAATTTTGTATATGGACATATGTATATTTCGGATTATTTTTATTTATTTATATATACATAGATAAATATACAAATTCATTCTAAGTGTATTTTGATTTAAATATATATATATATATTAATTTTAAAATACAGTTAGAATAAAATTTCATATAGATATATAATTTTTTTTCAATTTTTATTATTATTTAAAAAAAATTATTTAATTTAAATTACTTATTATTTATATTTTATTATAATATATATATATACAATATATATAGTTATTATATATATTATATATATATGTGTGTAATTTAATTATAAGTGTATTTTTAAATTAATATATGTACATATTAATATAAAAATACACTTAATATGACATTATATATATGATATATTGACATATATTATTTATATATAATATATGTCTATATATCATATTTATAAACATATATATAATTATTTTTTTTATTAACACTAACTTTATTTTTTATTTTTTTATTTTACACTAACAGGGAGACTGCCTGTCAGCACAGGCAGTCCACCTGCAGGCAGACACATGGACACCTTCTGTGACCATGTGATCGCTGTGTTAAGCAATCACATGGCCACAGGGGTCCTAATCCAGTGTGGTGAGACTGTCTGGGCTGCAGGCAGTCTCCCCACACCGGGAGCAAAGCTGATCGCCGCCGGGGGAACGACGGCCATCAGGTAAGTAACTAGGACCGTTAGGACGGTTCAGGACCGTCAGCGGTTGGCAATGGGAAAATGCCGATGACGGTCCTGAACCGTCCTCGGTCCTTAAGGGGTTAAAACATATAAAATCAAGAATTTCAAAAAAAATAATAATACGGATTGCGTCAGTTCTAATTGTAAATTATTTCTAGTCTATTTATGAAAATATAATGGAAGCAGCGAGGAGTGGAAGTGATTTTACTGAATAATAAAAGGTGCAACAGCTTTAAAAATGGGGAAGTTCAGTGCACTATGCCACTGATTCTTATTTGAGTATTACTATACCGTACCCCCAAATTCTGATTTCATACAATATGAAGGATAAGGCCTAAACATTATAGGATTAAATTAGAATCTTAAGTAAATTGAATTCATTACACTTTAGTTACTGTTACATTTTCAACTCCTGCGTTTTCAACTATTGCATGTTCAACCACTGCAAATTCAACTGCTACATGTTCAACTGCTGCATGGTGGCAGAGCAACCCGATTATAATAAAACAACTAAATATATCATTTTATATATCGTATAGCCTCTCCTTTTGATAACCAATAATTATTCCAAGGGTTGCATATTTTAAAGTATTTTTCCTTTTTATTATCTGCTCCCCAATACAGTTCCTCCATTACCCTATTGTCTTCAACTCTCTCTACCCAGTTTTCTATTGTTGGAATAATAGTTTTTTCCAAAAGACTGGGATTAATGTGTATCTGCCTCGTTAATTAAAAACCACCGTAATTTCTGTTTGTTTATATCGGTAAAGGCATTGGGCCAACCAAGTAGAATATGCGAGGGAGTTAACTCATATGATAAAGGTAGAATTTGTTTAATATATATAATTACTTGTTTCCAATACTGATAAATATTTGAGCAGAACAATAAAATATGTTTGATAGTACCTTCCTCAAGCCCACATCTCCAACACTTATTTACTTAGCGATGCAGTAACGAGCGGGTTCTATACCACCGCGTTACCCATTTATGAAAAGATTCCCTTTTAGTCTGGCTAACCAAATTCATCATAACTTGTCAGAACACATAATACCAGTCATCAGCCGATACATGTATATGTAAGGCAGCTGTCCATTTACTCTGGAAATTAGCAGGTACCTCATCCATTAAGCCCTTTTGAATCATAGCGTAAAGCTTAGAAAAGAAATGGGCTCCTTCTAAATTAGAAGTACAAAATAGCTCAAAAAAAGAAAGCTCTCAATGTCCAATTTGGAAGTACTTCTTTTAATAAAAAATTGGCAAGTTGTGAATATATTAATGTATCCAACAGCGTCTGTGTTTTAGAAGTGCCAAGCAGCTCATTAAGGGTTGGAATAGTATTTTCTTGTAGTAATAAGTTTATATTTTTCCCAGACTCACCTATCAAACGAACCAATAATGGACCACCTTCTCCCTTACAAATGTCAGGATTTCCTGCAATGGATATAAAGGTGAAATTCCTGGAGATAAATGCCACTTTTTATATTTCCTCCATAAATGTAATACACTTAAAGGACCACTATAGGCACCCAGACCACTTCAGCTTAATGGGTTAATCCAGCCTTTGGTGGCTGTCTCATTGACAACTGCTAGAGGCGCTTGCGTGCTTCTCACTGTGAAAATCACAGTGAGAAGACGCCAGCGTCCATAGGAAAGCATTGATAATGCTTTTCTATGAGACTGGCTGAATGCGCGTGTAGCTCTTGCCATGCATGCGCATTCAGCCGAGGAGGAGGAGGAGAGGAGGCGGAGAGGAGGAGGAGAGCTCCCCGCCCGGCGCTGGAGAAAGAGGTAAATTTAACCCCTTCCTCACCCTAGAGCCCGGCGGAAGTGGGACTCTGAGGGTGGGGGCACCCTCAGGGCACTATAGTGCCAGGAAAACGAGTATGTTTTAGCCTTGGAAGATTATATAAAGGAACGTAAAACTTTGCTCTAACGTGTACCAAGATCGTTGTGTTCCCATATTAGTCCATTCTCTCAATCTAGTCAGTAATGCTGCCGTATAATAATGATATAAATTGGGTGATGAAAGTCCACCTTTATCTTTATGACTTGTTAAAAATTGATAGGCCAAACGGGGATGTTTATTATTCCAAATAAATTATACAAACATTTTCCTAAACTTTATAAATATTGACTGTGGCAAGGAGATGGGTAATGTCTGAAACAACTATAATATTTTCGGGAGGACCATCGTCTTTATAATATTAATATGTCCGAGTATTGAAAATTGTGATAAATTCTATCTTTAATTTCTTTCAGAAGTGGTATGTAATTAGCTCTTATGAGACGGGCAATCAAGGGTGTCATGTTAACCCCCAAATAATTAAGCCCACCAGATGGCCAATGAAACTCATGAGTACTACTTAATTCTGACCTTAGAGCATCTGTTATATTTATACCCAATATCTCAGATTTAGAAGTATTTACTTTAAAATTAGACATTGAGCTGAACCTTTCTATTTCCATTTTTACCTGAGTTACTGATTGGATAGGATTTGTTAATGAGAGTAAGATGTCATCTGCAAATGCAGAAACTTTCAATTCTCCTCCTTGAAATGAATATCCTCTTATAAATTGATTTTCCCTAATAGCCTGCAAAACAGGTTCCATAGCTAAAATGAAAAGAAGGGGGGGGACAAAGGACATCCCTGCCTTTTTGAGTACTGTCCGTTTACTTTTCTACCACAGGTAGGGCCATTATAAAGAACCTCGATCCATTGTCTAAAGCTCTCCCCAAACCCCTATGCCTCCAATACAGTAAAAAGATAGGATCAGTCCACCCTGTTAAAGACTTTCTCTGCATCTATAGCCAAAAGTATAGCCAAAAGGTTTCTTAGACAATTTTGCACAATGTATAACACTTAGAATTTCAGTAGTATTATCTTGTACTTCTCTTCCCAGCACAAAGCCTGCCTGATCAGGGTGGACCAGTCCAGGCAAAAGGGGTTTGAGACGAAGTGCCAATATTTTAGCATACATTTTTAAATCCATATATATATAGAGATTGGTCTGTTAATCCCACACATAAGAAGATCCTTCCCTTGTTTTTGAACAAGTATAATAGACGTTTGTAACATTGGTGGAGGCAAAGTTATGCCAGGAGCGATTGAATAAAATGCCTTTAAAAAAAATTCTACTAAGTTGGACTGTAAAAGCCTATTATAGCATAGATGTCTCCCGATGGTCCACCGCAGCACCTGCACCAAAGCCTACACAGAGGCCTGTACTAAAGCCTTCACAGAGGCATGCACCCAAGCCTGCATCGAGGCCTGCACCAAAGTTTGTACTCAAGCCTGAACAGAGGCCTGCACAAAGGCTGACACAGAAGCACGATCCCGAGAAGCAGCATAAGAAAGAACAAAGAGGGAGACCGCAGAAGGCACCCCGACTCAGGAGACGCTGCCATGCAACCCGCAGCTGCTTACCTGAACTTCAGTCCAGACGAGGATGTTGTTACAAGCGCAGCTCACACCCTTGGGTAGTATGTAAAAAGCTGCCCGCGAGCAGATCCTGAGTCTTTATCCAGACCATCAACAGCTCGCGGATGTGGGAGAAACCAGGACAGGACTGTACTGGGGACTGGAGATGGTGGGGGAAGAAATGTGGGTAAACAGTCTTTTAACACAGCATGGGTTAGTGGGCATAGGCCAACTACCCTACTTGAGAGCAGGATCAGGCTACTACTTCCTTTAGGCCCCAGGTCTCATGCTTGGCAGTGCAGTATACCCGGAACCATCATCCACCCACCTTACATTTTTTGTTGTTGACCAAAAGTCTGTTTAGCTCACATGTGTTCTTTTTTTTTTTCATAGTTGGCACTAGAGGTAACTTAATCTACAGTAGTTTAGCATGATTTATATAGCCACTTTTACACTTACTATGGAGTCTAGATTTGCATATTCTAAGAAACTATGTTATAATATAACTCTAGGAAAGTATTACTAAGCATGTTCCTAATCCTGTCGTTGTACCTTTAAAAAATAAAAAAAATGTGCATGGTTTTACCAATGCCTTAATGCTTACAAGCCGTGTAGTTTTTCTCCCTTGTCGCATACTGTTGGGGCATGACGAGTTGGTATGTAATTAACAGCACTTCAAAAAAAAGAATAAAAAAAAAAAGCATATAATAACAAATTGTAAGGCCATCAGGACCAGGGCTCTTCCCATTTGGGAAGGATTTAATTGCCCTTCCAAACTCTATACCAGTAGTAGGGGTATCCAAAGATTTTTTAATTCATTAGACGGAATGTTCTCTGTAATATTTGAGCTAATATAATTACAGATGCAGTCTTTAGTTCCCAGTGGTCTAGGCAGTTTATTTAATCTCTGATAATTTGAATAGAATGCCTGCGTTATTGATTCTGTTGTCAAATGTTGATTTCCCTATTCATCTTTTATTTTTGATATATAGGAAGACTGGAGTCTTTTTGCTTTTGCTAGCGATTTTCCACACTTATTACCGCGCGAATAAAAGGATCCGCGTGTAAGTCAAAACACTCGCTGCGCCAGTAAATGAAGCAGACTTTTCAGCTCCATTCTATACGCTACTAAGCGTTGATAAGTCTCAGAAGATGGTTTTAACTCATGGGCCAGCTCTTCACTTTCTATTTTATGAGTTAAAATCTCTAAATTAGCCAGGCATTCCTTTTTTATGCGTGCTCCCCATTTAATTAAAATCCCTCTGATTACACATTTATGTGCTTCCCAAATCCCTGAATCCTGAATGTCGGTTGATTAATTATCATTAAAATACAGTGCTATGGTGGTTTTCAATTCCTCCTGTACTCTTTGATCTTCTAATAATGACTCATTCAAACGCCACCGGAATTTTGGGAATTAATCCCTGGGAGCCTTAGATCTAAATAAACTGGAGCATGATCCGACCATGTAATGCTCCCAATTGACACATTTTTAATCAAATGGAGATGCCTATGGGGTATAAAAATAATATCCAATCTTGAATAGCTGTTGGTTGAGTGGGGAAAAAAAGGTATAATCTCTCCCAGTCGGATTATCAGTTTGCCAACTATCCGCCATCTGGTGGGCATGTAAGATTTTTTGGAAAAGAGCTCTCTGATGTTTAAGATAATCCATTGATCAAGCCACCACGAGTTTTTCAGCGGGAATATATACATATATTTTTTCCACTGCAGAGTATCATTTCAAATAAGTACTGTCTAATGATTGGTCCAATACTAAATTCAGTCCCCTCCTACCATCAATAGACCTCCCATAAAATAATCTAATTTGTCCAGGGCATGTCTAATAAATGTTACCTTATTAAAGCAATGAGTTGGCGCACAAAACCTGGCAAAAATATTTTTTTCAAATCTAAAACGAACAGTACTTATTTGAAATGATACTGCCCGAGCAGTGGAAAAAATATATGTATATATATCTACATATGTATGTATAACTCGTGGTGGCTTCAAGCCCTGGCTGCTCAGGCGGCGTTGGTGGAGACGCCTTACGTGACTATCACGTCTCTACACCGCCCAACACAATCATATAAATGTATTCATCCAAATTTAGAACGATGGGCGCGTTGTACAAATTCTCCAAATTCCACATCAACAAATTGCAAAACAAACAAAACATTTTTGAGTTGGACTTCTGCATTATGAGATCAATGATAGGAAAAGCATTGGGAGGCTAGTGCACAAAACGCTCCACTACACCAATCTGATGGTGTTTACGAGACCATCTGATTCAAATAGTGGAGTTTTACACAACTATTTTGGCATTGTTTAAACCCTGCCATGAAAACAATGTATTTTCCGCACAACAGCAATATTTTCGGCCGCAAGGTTAAAACAGGAGGGGGCATGGCACACAGACAACTTCATTGTGATCTGTACCGGCAGATTTAAAGGCAGTAAATGCATGGACTAGAAGTTACTTAAGATGCCTTTAATAAATAACCTAGTAAGGATAAAGAATCTGCTTTACATAGCGAGTGAGCTGAATAGCTTTTTCCTGCCAAGAGAACCCATTGACTTTTTTCGGGCCACTAAAATCAATGTGTCTAATAATAGCAATAAGCAGGATCACATTTTTAAAGACACATAGTCTTCATGTATCTATAAAACATGCGGAAGGGTTTGTGATCATGAATATTCCATCTCAGATTGTGCGTGATATATTTCAAGTGAAATTCACAAAAAAAAAAGCAAAAAGCAAAAGCTGATCCATTTTGTCTGCACTTCACACTCATTAAGATGTGGGAAGCAGCTTCCTTAAGTACTAGACAAAGCTCCTTTCTGCAGCACATTTATATTTGCACTAGTCAGAGGCTCTCAGCCACCTTTAAATTATACGTTTCAAGATGGATCTGCAGCTGAGCTTGAAAATTGGTAACTCACACATCCTTCTTTAGTTTGCGAACATGCATCATCTTGACAACAGGAAGATGAGCCGAATGATGGATAACATGGATCTAAAACAAATAACAGGATCAGTAAGTTTCCTATCTGTACACGGAATGCTAAAATGAACACCATGCAAATCCCCTTATACTGGGATAGTAGACTGACCAAGCCAAGTCTTTCATTTTTACTAAGTATCCTTCAAGACTTCTGTGTCTGGTCACTACTATCCTTCAAGACTTCTGTGCCTGGTCAGTACTATCGTTCAAGACTTCTGTGTCTGGTCACTACTATCCTTCAAGACTTCTGTGTCTGGTCAGTACTATCCTTCAAGACTTCTGTGTCTGGTCACTACTATCCTTCAAGACTTCTGTGTCTGGTCAGTACTATCCTTCAAGACTTCTGTGTCTGGTCAGTACTTGAGGTTTTTTTTTTTTTTGCTTAATGAAACAGATTTATAAAGATGAAGTCATAGGAGCTTATTCTCTAAGTCGAAACTGAATTAAAACATTTAGGCCACTGTAATTCAATTGGAAAAAATAATCAAACCATTTCTAGACAGAGTTTGGCTATCTCAGCTGGAATTTTGCAATCAGGACTAAAATACGGTGAAATTATAATTGCCAATTTCCAGTGGAATGAAAATATATAAATGTATTAAAACAAGATAAATGATCTAAAGGGTGAAAAAAAGGCAAACTATTTATCATATAGTTTCAGATACAGTTACTTTAAGCGCTCCGTTGTGGTCCCAGAGCACTTCTTGATGACTCCAAGCACCACACTCTGCGCTGTGAGTTATTAACTGAGTGCTAGAACCACAAAGGTGCTCTTATAATGGTCTGCGTCTGATTTTAGCGCAGATGATGACGCACCTCCCTGGACCACCAGGGATATGGCTCACCCTCCCCTGGAGCACCAGGGATCTAGCTCATCCTCCACTGGACTACCAGGGATAAGGCTCACCCTCCACTGGAGCACCAGGGATCCAGTTCACACTCTACTGGACAACAAGGGAATGTAAGCAGGAGCAGGGCCAAAATATACACACACACACTTAGCCACACTCAGACTCCTCTACACCTGCCACTCAGATGTCTCCATGCCCAAAATTTAGCCACCACACACACATAACACCTAACCAGCACACACAGGCACACTCAACCTCCCCCAAACAGCTCACAGCCTTCTTCACATACACAACACTCAGCCATAAAACACACTCTCACACACAACACTCAGTCACCACACCACTCAGAGAAATAGAGCCAAGAGCCATGGGCAACCATAATCAAGTTCTGTACAGAAATCCCATTGCATAAATCTCTTAGTATCTGTAACAAAACAGGGTTATTTACTAAAGTGGGAATTCAAATTCTCACTTTATTAAACAACCATAACAGTTTGCCATCACCCTAAAATTAAGGCGCCCTGAATCAGCTCTATTGAATGCACTGTTTTTCTGTGCCTCTCAGAGATAGGACAGTGTAACATGGCTTGGTATTTTATGGGTATGGGTTAATAAACACAATGTTAGTAATATTTTAATTGGTGTGTATATGTGAGGGGGTTTGCACTGTATGTACAAGGCTACAAATCAGTTGCCTGGGCAGAGGGGGCAGTAAAACATTTATAGATCACTGTAGAGCAGTGCATTGTGCCTCTGCTCCCAACTGAATAATATAGTGCATGTCCCTTTAAGATTGTCTTCTTTCTCTGATTGGTAAAATGTCAGCTGAAACAATAGATGAGGTCCATAGGTCTGACAGTGTATTTCAAGGCAGTATTATACCTGTACAGCCAGTCCATTAAAACATGGTTGGTAATCAAGCAGTACCATGTAAACAAGTGTATCTGTATATTCATTTTCTATATTTTAATTCATATTTGTGTATATATCTATTTGTCTCCATGGCTCCTTGTGCTTTTATTTCCATTGGACCTGCTAGGATCCCCCTGGCAGAACGTAGTAAAAATGAGCCAATTACAGGTTTTTGATGATTGTCTTTAAAGCTCTTTAAAAACCATTCAATTTGATAGCTCAATATGATCTTGTGCCCAGTATTATTTGGAGTTCCAAACAACATGTGATCTGTTGGGTTTAACTGCTCCTTGTCACCTGGAAACTTCACCCAAGACAGATCCCATC